TTCCTCCATGCATTGGAAGACAAAAGCCTGAGCTCAGCATAACCAGGGTTCTAAATTGCACAGGGAGCTCCCATGAGTACAGCAGCTTTTCCCCTGCAAATACTCATCCCCCAGTGCATGGAGGGTGTGGCCACAGAGGTGTGATGGATGGTAGCAAAGTCAGGCAAGGAGGAGTTGTGGTTATGCTCACCAGGCCTGGCTCAGCCATGAAGTGGGGTGATGGAGGCCCCCATGGGAGCCCTGCCCCCCCCGGCACCTCCGCCACCAGCAGAGAAGCAGCGCAGGCATTGGCACTGATTTCCAGCAAGATATCATGAAATCTCGCTGAAATCTCATAAGATCTTACGGAGTGAGGGGAACTGAACACCAAATAGTACTGCCTTGGGGAAGAGAGAATCCAACTGTCAACAGAAGAGGCCTCTTCAGCGTGTCTTCAAAACAGTTTTGTGATTGGAGAACACATTGATGAAAGCCTTTGTAACATAACAAATCCCTGCTCCATTGACAATACCTGCTGGACTCTTTTAGCCTCTCTCAAAGTAACTTCAACAACTTCTATTTAAAGCTCACAATAACAAGATTTTACATGCCACTTTTAGCCAATATAATCAAATGAAAAGCAATCATTTAACTCACTTGACAAAATACACTGTTACCTCTGACACATCAAACCCTCAATTTATCAAAGATTTTCTTTCTTTCTCTTGGGTTGATATGAAATATGCCACATTCAATTCAAATGGGGCATTTTTAAACATAATTGCAGCCTTTGTCAAGCCTAAAAGCATATCATCACGGCAGCGTTGTCAAATGATTTTTACCATACTACACTGCTTAAGTGCAGGCTTCCCAATCAATGGATATGTACACGTTACTGGTTCAAAAGGCAGCGAGGTTGTTTCATCTCCCTTGTGTCTCACGTTGTATTTGCATGTTGCTGTACACATCAGAGAGGGGACAGAGCTGTCTTCCCCCAGTGCACATTAACAGTTTGGTTTCCCCGTGCCTGCAGACTCCTCAAGCTGCCATCTGGGCGTGAGCAACACCTCAGCTTCGCTGCAAAGTGAATGTGGCTTATTTTTTAAAAAAAAATTGGATAGAAGCTGGTTTGAGGGAAAACACATCAATCAGCAGTGTTCCTCTCAAATGACGGAGTAGATATAGATTGCGACTAACACCATGTGTAAAGGGTAAAGGTAAAGGGGCCCCTGACCATTAGGTCCAGTCGTGGCTGACTCTGGGGTTGCGGCGCTCATCTCGCTTTATTGGCCGAGGGAGCCAGCGTACAGGGATCGGCAAGTCCTAGGCTCTGTGGTTTAACCCACAGCACCACCCGTGTCACAACCATGTGTAAACAGCTTCAAATGCTAGTGGCAAGAGCACACTGGAGCCAGAGTAAATGGTAATGTGCTGGGAAATACTGTGCACAGTTCTGTGTTAGAATTCATGCTCCAAGATTACAGTCATGGGATTGTTGTCTATCACATGACGGTATATATTTTGACTCCACTGAGTGGAAAGTGACAGAGACAGGATGTTTGTGGTACTGTGTTCCGTGAAGTGGGACTATTGTCCTTTGTTCTTTCTCTCTTTGCTGTCTGATGCTAGAGAGAGAGGGAGCCATGTTGCAGTGCTCCATGTGTGTTTATATGTAAAATTAGCCAACCCCCCACAAGTAGATTAGCCAAAATGCTGAGTTGCTGAGGTCTGTTATGCAACTGCACAAACTCTGCAGATCCCTAAGTGTGCCGATGTCTGTTGGCATTGGTCGCTGTGATGTTCGGACAGAAGAAAGCTTTTGAAGCTCCCAAACGAAAGACCAGGAGGGAAGGAACATGCCAGTCGGGCATGTGTCTCTGACAGGGTCCTACTCGAGTGTAGGACGAGCTCCTGACATTCTGGACATACCGTAATTGAGGCGACAGGCCACAGATCAATGGAAGAACATGTGCTTTGCTTTGATAAGGGTCCCAGCATCTCCAATTTAAAAAGGATCAAATAATGAGAAAGACTCTGGAGAGCTGTGCCAGTCAGAGCAGACGATACTGTGCTAGATGGGGGGAGTTGCATGAGGCTTGAGGGAAATTTGCAGAGATAGGAGTGGCAGGGTGAGAAGGTGCTAGAAGGCCGAAGTAAGGAAGAAGAGCTTGTGGATCCTTTAACTACTGTCCGGGAGCATTGTGAACAGACTGAGAAATGTGTGAAAGCTCGGGAACGTTTAAACCATGGGTAGGCAAACTAAGGCCTGGGGGCCAGATCCGGCCCATGGACGGTCTGGGAATCAGTGTGTTTTTACATGAGAAGAATGTGTCCTTTTATTTAGAATGCATCTCTGAGTTATTTGTGGTGCTTTTACATTAGTAGAATGTGTGCGCTTTTACAGTGGTACCTCAGGTTAAGTACTTAATTCGTTCCGGAGGTCTGTATTTAACCTGAAACTGTTCTTAACCTGAAGCACCACTTTGGCTAATGGGGCCTCCTGCTGCTGCCGCACTGCCGAAGCACGATTTCTGTTCTCATCCTGAAGCAAAGTTCTTAACCTGAAGCACTATTTCTGGGTTAGCGGAGTCTGTAACCTGAAGCGTATGTAACCTGAAGCATATGTAACCCGAGGTACCACTGTATTTAAAATGCATCTCTGGGTTATTTGTGGGGCATAGGAATTTGTTCCTTCCCCCCCCAAAAAAAATATAGTCCGGCCCCCCACAAGGTCTGAGGGACAGTGGACCGGCCCCCTGCTGAAAAAGTTTGCTGACCCCTGGCTTAGAGGAGTGAAGTGCTCAAGTGTCATCCAAGTCCCGTAAAGAGGAGAATTGTACAGAGGAACTCTTTGACTTATTGCATGCTAGATACCACTGGGTGGCTCATAAACTCTTCAGCAAATCGAAATAAATGTTAATATAAGCCTGTGTCCTCCTCATGCATAGCTGATGAAAACCTGAGTCTGTTCAGTTTGAGTAAACATGAAGCTCTGCAGCTGTAATAAGAAAGTGAATGCAACTAGCCAGTGGCGTAGCGTGGGTTGTCAGCACCCTGGGCAAGGCAAGTAATTTGCGCCCCCTAACCCGTGGATTTGCGCCCCCTAACCTGTGGATTTGCCCTAACCCCAGATGTTGCGCCCGGTGCGGCCGGCCCCCCCTGCACCCCCCACGCTACGCCACTGCAACTAGCTCTCTGGTAATTTGGAGAGAATTTAAGAGTGGCCATCAGAATACAGCTATGTTCTATAGAAGATTTGTGGCTGCTAACAAAGTGTTTCTGTAGACTTCTGGTATTAAAGATATTTCCTGTCAAATGTGAAAATGTTTGCTTGTTATGACGGCCAAGGCCACTTAGCATACTCTGAGGTAAAGCATTAAAACTTAGGCAATTAGGTATGATAATATTATTAATAATAATAGTCATAATATGCTAGATGGGCAATCAGTCCAACTTGATATATTACTATTTAATATTATTATTTATTAAATTGTATACCACCCTATAACTGCAGGTCTCAGGGCAGTTCACTATGTAAAATCACAATATAAATACACAAATTACACAATAAAAAGAAAAAAACAACCCAATAATCCCCCCCCCTCCCAGCACATTTTAAGAGGGCATTTTCCTATGTTTATCTTCCTATCTTAGAAGAATGACAACACAGAGATACAAGGACAACTTGCATGAGGTCTGGAACACCTCAGCGAGAAAAGGGTAAGTACCTTTTAATTTTTCTTTTAAAGGACAACTAAGGGAGGGCATGCTCGAGGTTTATAGAACTGTGCAGGTTTTAGGGAAAGTGATACTATTCACCCCTGATGCCAGAACCTGGGGCCACTGGATGAAATTTGTGGGCAGTAGCTAGGACGGACAGAAGAGAGTACTTTTTCACACCGTCGACATATTTGCCACAAGCTTGGGAACGCCACAGTTGCTTGCCGTGTGATGCCATGGATGAAATGTCTAGAAATGGCTATTACCAATGCTGTCAAGCTTCAACTTTAGGACAAAGCTCCACCTCTACCCCACCCAGAGGCGGAGCTAGGTGCTCTGGCACCCAGGGGTGTGCTCCCAGGGGCGGGGCTAGCCACCCACAGGGGCGGGGCTAGCATCCCAGAGGGCCACCGCACACGTCCCAGGGGGTGCGTGCCAGCCAACACAAGCCTCCTGGGGGGTGCACCGCCCGCGATGTCCGGGGGGGCAGGGCAGCGATGTCAAAAAAACCCTTCCAGGATCGCACCCAGAGCAGACCGCACCCACCACACCCGCCTCAGGCCCCACCTCAGTCAGATGAACAGCTGGGCCCACAAATGCAGCCGAATTGCTCACTAGCTTTTTTCAAGGAAATGAAATAACTCACATAAAGAGGTAGATTTCCCCCAAAGACTATTAAGACCAGAGTCAAAAATTCCCCTAAATGCACCCACAGAACTCATGCCTCTCAAGAGCAGCTGGTGAGGTTGGTTGGTTAGTTGGTTGGTTTCAGATACACCCCGCTTTGCATTTAAAAGTCCAAGGTGGTTAACCGTTCAAATAAAAGTCAAGGTCTTTGGGGAACTCTCTGGCTCGCCGCTGTTGGAAACAAGATTCTCAACCAGGTGAATCCTTGGCCTGTTTCATCAAGTCTCTTTCCAAGTTTCCATAACTGCAGGCATGGAGTTTGTTTTATTTTATTTTCAGTGCTATACTAAGTTTGCACGGTTTTGCTCATGTCCTAATGCAGATATAGCCATCCCAATAAATGTAATGCGATGTGCTGAAATCAGGAGGTAATTTCAGGGTAGGGTCTGAAATAGCTTGGCTCCGGTATCATAAACGCAAAGAGATATTTAACTTCTGCAATGTGTTTAAGAATGCAGGATGTTAGCGTGCATCCCCCTAGGAAAAGGGAAATTATCTAATAAAATAATGCAGACAGGCTATTGTTGACAATGATTCATCGACAGCTTGATTTATAATTCAGTTTTCAGGCAATTTGTCAGATTAATATTAAAAAGAATGATACATTTCCTTACTTTTCTAATGCGCTTTGGGCTATTCGTTGCTTCTCCTTTTTTTCCCGTTCTTTGTGCTTCTTAACCCGAATCTCCCACATTCCTCTGATGGCCGCAAAGTCTAATACGATCACCTGATGCCCCATGTTGCTGACATTAAGATTCTCCTGCAATAACAATTTTATTAACATGGCGTCATTATAAGGAAAAAGAAGCTGATGACTTAAAGAAAAGAAAAGCAGATAATGTAGTTAGGCATAGGCATACAATCCTTTCAGTCCTCAATTCAGATGAGGACATGGCAATCAAACCAAAACAGAAAATTATTATAGTATTTGCAATAGTTTTAATAATCCATATTCCTCACATTATTCATCACCTTCAGTCAGGGCCATCTTTAGCATATGCACCGCCGGCGTGCAAAGATCCACCCAGTGCCCCCAAATTTAGTTTAGCTGTCCCCAGATTTGGGGGAGGAGGGAGAACTCAAGTTTGTTGAGCTTCTTTGGGAGGGGGGAAGCCAAAGTTGACCTTTTTGTGGGGAGGAAAATCGCTCACCTGTAACAACGACACAGTGGAAATAACTGCTTTTATTTCCTGACTCGTCGAAAATATTTGACACTATGGAGTAACAGAGCGACGGAGGAGAGGGACAGGGACTTTTGCTCCATTGCTTTTCACCTCCACTGATCAAGAGGGACCAGTATATAGTAGGTATACATTTGCCACCCCACAGTTGGCACCCCCAGAAATAATAATAATAATAATAATAATAATAATAATAATAATAATTGTACCCCTCCCATCTGGATGGGTTTCCCCAGCCACTCTGGGTGGCTTCCAACAAAGATTAAAAATGTATTAAAATGTCACACATTAAAAACTTCCCTGAACAGGGCTGCCTTCAGATGTCTTCTAAATGTCAGGTAGTTATCTCATTGACATCTGATGGGAGGGTATTCCACAGGGTGGGCGCCACTACCGAGAAGGACCTCTGACTGGTTCCCTGTAGCTTTGCTTCTCGCAGTGAGGGAACCGCTAGAAGGCCCTCGGCGCTGGACCTCAGTGTCCAGGCAGAACGAGGGAGGTGGAGACGCTCCTTCAGGTATACTGGACTGAGGCCGTTTAGGGCTTTAAGGTCAACACCAACACTTTGAATTGTGCTCAGAAATGTACTGGGAGCCAATGTAGGCTATTCAAGACTGGTGTTATATGGTCTTGGCGGCTGCTCCCAGTTACCAGTCTAGTGCCACATTTTGGATTAGTTGTAGTTTCCGAATCACCTTCAAAGGTAGCCCCACGTAGAGCGCATTGCAGTAGTCCAAGCGGGAGATAACTAGAGCATGCACTACTCTAGTGAGACAGTCCGCGGGCAGGTAGGGTCTCAGCCTGCGTACCAGATGGAGCTGGTAAACAGCTGCCCTGGGCATGGACTTGACCTGCGCTTCCATGAACAGCTGTGAGTCCAAAATAACTCCCAGGCTGTGCACCTGGTCCTTCAGGGGCACAGTTACCCCATTCAGGACCAGGGAGTCCTCCGCACCAGCCCGCCCCTGTCCCCCCAAAGCAGTACTTCTGTCTTGTCAGGATTCAACTTCAATCCATTAGTACTGCCCCCCTGCACCCCCAAGTAAAGACGGACCTGCCCTCAGTACTGTTTCCATCCTGCCGCAGTGTGGTTTCCACCAAATAATATGTTATTCATCTCTCTGTCCACTATTTACCATGGGTTACGTAATTTATGAGACTTTTTACATAACCTACATTCATTTCAACGTAAAGGAAATCCCTTTTGAACTCTTTTGTGCTCCAGAATCTCTCCCTATGGAACTCTGCTTTCATCTGGGGTCTTTGAAGCTGACTTTCTTAAAATCCATCGTCCAGCTATGTCTTTAGAACTTTTTTTGCATCTCTTTGAAGGGACATGGAGAGTGACCTGTCACAGCTTAACCCTATTTGCACTGAGCACCATTTTATAACTCTGTTAATTTTTGGAACTGATAGCAGTAAAGCACTTTTCTGGCTACAATTTTAAATATTAGTGCCCCCTCTTATATATATACTGTATACAGTGGTACCTTGTTTCTCAAACACCTTGGGACTCAAACAACTTGGAACCCAAACACTGCAAACATTCCGGTTTGCGAACTTTTTTTGAAAGCTGAACATGTTCCGTTTTGAGTGTTACACTTCCGATTTGAGTGCCACACTTTCGTTGTGAGTGTTACACTGAGGTCTGCCTGTTTTTGCTATTTATTTTATGTTTTTGCGGCTTTTTTGTTTTGTTTTTGTGACTGTGTGGAACCCAGTTCAGCTACTGATTGATTGTGTGACTGTTTCTGCTTTCATCTTATGGATCAGTGGTCTTGTTGGATAGTAAAATTCATGTTAAACTGCTGTTTCAGGGGTTGTTTTTAAAAGTCTGGAACGGATAAATCCGTTTTGCATTACTTTCTATGGGAAAGCACGCCTTGGTTTTGGAACGCTTTGGTTTTCGAACAGACTTCCGGAACGGATTAAGTTTGAAAACCAAGGTACCACTGTATAAGGAAAATAGGAGGGGCTGTAGCTCAGTGGTAAAGCATCTGATTTGCATCCAGATGATTCCAGGTTCGATTCCCAGCATCCTCAGGTAGGGCCAGGAGAGAACACTGCCTGAAATTCTGAAGAGCTCATGCCACTCCATGTAGACTGTCCTGAGCTGGATAGACGAATGCTCTGCCTCAATATAAGGCAGCTTCCTATATTCTTATGGGTATGGTCAATGCCTGGGCAGGCGGCCTTCTGGAAACCACATGCATAAAGGTAAAGGGGACCCCTGACCGTTAGGTCCAGTCGTGGCCGACTCTGGGGTTGCGGCGCTCATCTCACTTTATTGGCCGAGGAAGCAGGCGTACAGCTTCCGGGACATGTGGCCAGCATGACTAAGCTGCTTCCGGCGAACCAAAGCAGTACACGGAAACGCCATTTACCTTCCTGCCAGAGCGGTACCTATTTATCTACTTGCACTTTGATGTGCTTTTGAACCTGCAAGGTTGGCAGGAGTAGGGACTGAGCAACGGGAGCTCACCCTGTCGCGGGGATTCGAACCGCCAACCTTCTGATCGGCAAGTCCTAGGCTCTGTGGTTTAACCCACAGCGCCACCCACATCCCTTACATCATAAAAGGTAAAGGTAAAGGGACCCCTGACCATTAGGTCCAGTCGTGACCGACTCTGGGGTTGCGGCGCTCATCTCGCTTTACTGGCCGAGGGAGCTGGCATTTGTCCGCAGACAGTTTTTCCGGGTCATGTGGCCAGCATGACTAAGCTGCTTCTGGCGAACCAGAGCAGCACACAGAAACGCCATTTGCCTTCCTACCGGAGCGGTACCTATTTATCTACTTGCACTTTGACGTGCTTTCGAACTGCTAGGTTGGCAGGAGCTGGGACCGAGCAACGGGAGCTCACCCCGCCGCAGAGATTCGAACTGCCGACCTTCTGATCGGCAAGTCCTAGGCTCTGTGGTCTAACCCACAGCGCCACCCGCGTCTCTAACCACATGCATGCCCACGCATAAATAGAAGGCAAGCTAGCACAAGAAGGGCTATGACTACCATACTCTATCCTGCAAGGGACAGTTTAGAGCAGCTTTCCCCAACCTGGTGCTCTCCAGGTGTTTAGAATCGCAACTCCCATCAGCACCAAGCAGCATGGGCAGTGGTCAGGGATGATGGGAGTTGTAGTCCAAAAGTATAGAGGGCACGAGATTGGGGAAAACTAGTGGGCTTCCTCACGAGAAACTCAAGGGCACTCCCATAATGAAGACTAATTCTCGTGTCACTTCTGTATGATACGCTCCTGCTGCATGGGAAAGGGCAGGTATAAATCACGAATGTGTACACCGACCTCCTCCAGTTACAACCCTTTCATTTTGTTTTCTACCACCCGTGCTTCCACCTTCTGACTCATGTACGATTTATCACCTGCATCATCTCCCATAAATACCCAGCTCCGTGCTGGCAAAGGAAGCGCTCGCATTACGTATATGTGAATAAGGCATATTTGGATAAATCCTCCTTGCTTAGCTGCTCACACTATGGGGGAAACTGTCAGAAAGCACCCTGCTGATTTATGACGCCTCCTCTCTGGGATGAGCTTTTGCCACACACAGCTCACAGGATTCGGGTGGAAGGGCATTTAGCTGCAGTTTCTGCATGACTCTATACTATATCTGTTGCTGGCGAAGCCCATCTTTCCTGAAGGCCGCCTGCTTCTGAATTATTCTTGAGGTCACAGGCCACCTTTCTTAGATGATACATCGTTGTTGTTTCACTCAGCTTTATGATCTATTACTCAGAGAGATCATGAAAGTTGGTCTCTTTGGCAATACACTATAAAAAGAAGAGGGTCTCGACCAGAGAAGAAAGACTCCAATACTGGGGAAAGGGGAGCTGATGACTAATTTACAACGGTATCGCCTGTGACAAGCTCCGTATGTTGGAGTCTATAGTAGCAGGTAATCCTAGCTTTGTTGTTGTTGTTGTTTAGTCGTTTAGTCATGTCCAACTCTTCGTGACCCCCTGGACCAGAGCACGTCAGGCACTTCTGTCTTCCACTGCCTCCTGCAGTTTGGTCAAACTCATGCTGGTAGCTTCGAGAACACTATCCAGCCATCTTGTCCTCTGTTGTCCCCTTCTCCTTGTGCTCTCCATCTTTCCCAACATTAGGGTCTTTTCAAGGGAGTCTTCTCTTCTCATGAGGTGGCCAAAGTATTGGAGCCTCAGCTTCACGATCTGTCCTTCCAGTGAGCACTCAGGGGTGATTTCCTTAAGAATGGATAGGTTTGATCTTCTTGCAGTCCATGGGAGTCTCCTCCAGCACCATATTTCAAAAGCATCAATTCTTTGGCAATCAGCCTTCTTTATGGTCCAGCTTTCACTTCCATACATCACTACTGGGAAAACCATAGCTTTTACTATACGGACCTTTGTTGGCAAGGTGAGGTCTCTACTTTTTAAGATGCTGTCTAGGTTTGTCATTGCTTTTCTCCCAAGGAGCAGGAGTCTTTTAATTTCGTGGCTGCTGTCACCATCTGCAGTGATCATGGAGCCCGAGAAAGTAAAATCTCTCACTGCCTCCATTTCTTCCCCTTCTATTTGCCAGGAGGTGATGGGACCAGTGGCCAT